GCCTATAGTCATAAAAATTAATATTATTGTATCCCTAATCATTTTCTTTAAGTATGAGAATTTGATTCTCATTGTAATACACATAAGTCTGCTATCTTTTATAACATGTTATCAACAAGGTTTTCTTAGAAGGCAATAATTTTCAATGATGTGTGAATTTTCTTCTCTACATATGCATTATAATATTCTATCGAAATCAATTCTCACCTCTTTAGTTTGATTCATCCATGCCAATTCTTTGTCTACGAATTTTTTTTTCAATAGTCATAATTGTCTCTCGAAATCAATTTTTTTCAATGGCAATTTTTTTGTCTGCTAACTAGAGAAAAAAGCCAAGCTTTTTTGTATCACAATCAATGTTGCCTCAATCATTCAGTTGAATTGCATGGCCCAAACCGAATTGTTTAACATATGCATCTCTATATCTAGAATTATTTTATTGCTTGTACACACACCCTACTATTTAGCTATTTTATTGCTTGTACATGCATTCTGTTTGTATGTCGATAATGAAGCAATTGAATTATTACTTACTAATAAATGTTTAGCAATGGTTTCTATACTCGATTGTTTAATTACTTAATGAATGTTTAGTAATTATTTAATTGTTCATGTATAATGTTTGTAACGATATCTATATAGGTTTCATCATCTTTTCTTTAAAAAAAATGTTGAGCAATAAAACTTCAATTATTGAATTTATTTTTTGTTGTTGTTGATCCCCAAAGAAGCATAATTCTATAAATAACACATAGCTCCTGAAGAGCTAATATTCCTAAATAATAGTTTGTCGTTGCTTCTAATGTAGCACAACATTATAATTGATAATTCAGAAGAATATTACTTACTCTTGAAGAGCATGCATTATAATTTTTAATATTCCAAAAAAATATTGGCATATTGCACATGAAGAAATAATAGTAAAATACAATGTACTCCCGAGGTAGCACATGTTTTGAAAAACATATTATTTTAAATTAATGTTTATCCCTAAAGAAAAATATGTAACTTATGTCATGATATTAACTACTTAATTAACTATTATCTGATGTTTAATCATATTTTTCGAAACTAATTATATTTCTTTTTGCTTTATTGTGTAGTTAATTAAATAGCAAACATCTCAAAACTTGAGTTTGCTGTACTTGACATATCTGACAAAAATTATTTGTCATGGTACTCAATGCTGATATCCATCTTATTTCAAAAGGTTTGAAGGGAATAAAAGATGAAAACAAAGAATCACTGCAAGATCGTGTAAAACTCATCTTCCTATGTTATCATCTTCACGATAGATTGGAAATTGAATACCTTACTAAGAAAATATCCACAGGTTCTTTGGAATAAAAATTAATTGAAAATTTTGATCATCAGAGGATTATAATCCTTCCCAAAGCCTGCTATGAGTGGATCCACATCCGTTTGAAAAACTTCAAAACTATTAGTATGTACAATTCTAAACTGTTCAGAATATGTTCAGAATTGATTGTGTGAAGAAAAATCACTGTTGATATGTAGGAGAAAACCTTTTTTTTACCTTTCATGCTTCGAATGTACTTCTGTAACAACAATATTATGAGTGTGATTTTAAAAAGTATTAGAACTCATATCTTGCATGTTTGTGGTTGAACAAAATAATGAACTACAGATGAGAAATCATGGGTTACTGGTTCTGTACCATTACCTGAAGCAAATGGTACTGCATTGTCTAAAGTAATTGCAATATCAAGAAAACTATGTGGACGTGGACATAGATTTAGACATGGATGCGGACGCGAACATGCACGTGGAATAAATTATGAACGAAATAATCAACAAGAAGACAACAATTTCAAAAGACACAAAGTAAATGAAGTTGCACATCCAAAAAGGAACATGAAAAAAAGTTTCTTTAGATGTAGAATAAAAAAGCAATGGGCACATATCTGTTGTACAGCAAAAGATCTTGTGGATCTCTACCAAAAATCAATTAGGGAAAAAGATAGTGGAGATAAATTTTGCTAATTATGATGGCTCAATTGATGTGGTTCATTTAAATGTCTCTATTTTTTTGGCTGATGTAAATGGAAATATTAACCATTTGATTGGGGGTTGTATGATAAACAATTTACATGGATATCTTTTATAGAAGCATAAGATTCTTTTACTTAATAATTATCCATGTGTAATTTGTTCGCAAAGTAAGTTAGTCATTAGAGTTTCAACTACAAAAGTTAATATTGAATCTCCAATTTTCTTAGAAAAATTTTATGAAGATATATGTGGGATAATACACTCAATCATGTGGACCATTTTATTATTTTATGGTATTAATTGATTCTTCTACTAGATGATTACATTTTACATGCTGTTCCACTAAGAATGTAACCTTTACTAGAATACTTGTTTAAATTATAAAACTATGAGCACAATTCCTCGATTGCTCAATTAAGATTATTCGTTTTGACAATATTGGTGAATTTAAAACACAAACATTTGATGATTATTGTATTTTAATTGGGATTGTTATTAAACCTAGTATTTCTCACATACGGGTTTTTGATTGTGCTATCAAAGTCCATATTTCACCCCCCACAACATACTAAAATGAGTGCTAAATGAAGACTTAGGATTTATGTGGGTTTTGATTCATCATCTATTATTAGGTATTTTGAACCTTTAACATGTGATTTAT